TGTAGTTGTTAACGTGTAGCTGTTAACGTGTAATTGTTAACGTGTAGTTGTTAACGTGTAGTGTAGCTGTTAACGTGTAGTGTAGCTGTTAACATGTGGTTGTTAACGTGTAGTGTAGCGGGCCTACACGTTGTTAACGTGTAGTTGTTAACGTGTAGTTGTTAACGTGTAGTGTAGCTGTTAACGTGTGGTTGTTAACGTGTAGTGTAGTTGTTAACGTGTAGTTGTTAATGTGTAATTGCTAACGTGTAGTGTAGTTGTTCACGTGTAGTTAACGTGTAGTTGTTAACGTGTAGTGTAGTTGTTAATGTGTAGCTGTTAACGTGTAGTTGTTAACGTGTAGTGTAGCTGTTAACGTGTAGTGTAGTTGTTAACGTGTAGTTGTTAACGTGTAGTTGTTAACGTGTAGTGTAGTTGTTAACGTGTAGTGTAGCTGTTAACGTGTAGTGTAGCTGTTAACGTGTAGTTAACGTGTAGTGTAGTAGTTAACGTGTAGTGTAGTTGTTAACGTGTAGTGTAGTTGTTAACGTGCAGTGTAGTTAACGTGTAGTGTTATTGTTAACGTGTAGTTGTTAACGTGTAGTTGTTAAAGTGTAGTGTAGTTGTTAACGTGTAGTTGTTAACGTGTAGTGTAGCGGCCCTACACGTTGTTAACGTGTAGTTGTTAACGTGCAGTTGTTAACGTGTAGTGTAGCTGTTCACGCGTAGTTGTTAACGTGTAGTGTAGCTGTTAACGTGTAGTGTAGCTGTTAACGTGTAGCTGTTAACGTGTAGTGTAGTTGTTAACGTGTAGTTGTTGACGTGTAGTTGTTAACGTGTCGTGTAGCTGTTGATGTGTAGTTGTTACCGTGTAGTGTAGTTGTTAACGTGTAGTTGTTAACGTGTAGTGTAGCTGTTAACGTGTAGTTGTTAACGTGTAGTTGTTAACGTGTAGTTGTTAACGTGTAGTGTATTTGTTAACGTGTAGTTGTTGACGTGTAGTGTAGTTGTTAACGTGTAGTTGTTAACGTGTAGTTGTTAACGTGTAGTGTAGTTGTTAACGTGTAGTGTAGTTGTTAACGTGTAGTTGTTAACGTGTAGTTGTTAACGTGTAGTTTTTAACGTGTAGTGTAGCTGTTAACGCGTAGTTGTTAACGTGTAGCTGTTAACGTGTAGTTGTTAACGTGTAGTTGTTAACGTGTAGCTGTTAACGTGTAGTGTATTTGTTAACGTGTAGTTGTTGACGTGTAGTTGTTAACGTGTAGTTGTTAACGTGTAGTTGTTAGCGTGTAGTTGTTAACGTGTAGTGTAGTTGTTAACGTGTAGTGTAGTTGTTAACGTGTAGTTGTTAACGTGTAGTTGTTAACGTGTAGTTTTTAACGTGTAGTGTAGCTGTTAACGCGTAGTTGTTAACGTGTAGCTGTTAACGTGTAGTTGTTAACGTGTAGTTGTTAATGTGTAGCTGTTAACGTGTAGTTGTTAACGTGTAGTTGTTAACGTGTAATGTAGCTGTTAACGTGTAGCTGTTAACGTGTAGTGTAGTTGTTAACGTGTAGTTGTTAACATGTAGTTGTTAACGTGTAGTGTAGTTGTTAATGTGTAGTTGTTAACGTGTAGTTGTTAACGTGTAGTGTAGTTGTTAACATGTCGTTGATAACGTGTAGTTGTTAACGTGTAGTTGTTAACGTGTAGCTGTTAACGTGTAGTTGTTAACGTGTAGTTGTTAACGTGTAATGTAGCTGTTAACGTGTAGCTGTTAACGTGTAGTGTAGTTGTTAATGTGTAGTTGTTAACATGTAGTGTAGATGTTAACCTGTAGTTGTTAACGTGTAGTTACCGTTCAGTGTAGCTGTTAACGTGTAGTTGTTAACGTGTAGCTGTTAACGTGTAGCTGTTAACGTGTAGTGTAGTTGTTAACGTGTAGTTGTTAACGTGTAGTGTAGTTGTTAACGTGTAGTGTAGCTGTTAACGTGTAGTGTAGCTGTTAACGTGTAGTTAACGTGTAGTGTAGTTGTTAACGTGTAGTGTAGTTGTTAACGTGCAGTGTAGTTAACGTGTAGTGTACTTGTTAACGTGTAGTTGTTAACGTGTAGTTGTTAAAGTGTAGTGTAGTTGTTAACGTGTAGTTGTTAACGTGTAGTGTAGCGGCCCTACACGTTGTTAACGTGTAGTTGTTGACGTGTAGTTGTTAACGTGTAGTGTAGCTGTTCACGCGTAGTTAACGTGTAGTGTAGCTGTTAACGTGTAGTGTAGCTGTTAACGTGTAGCTGTTAACGTGTAGTGTAGTTGTTAACGTGTAGTTGTTGACGTGTAGTTGTTAACGTGTCGTCTAGCTGTTGATGTGTAGTTGTTACCGTGTAGTGTAGTTGTTAACGTGTAGTTGTTAACGTGTAGTGTAGCTGTTAACGTGTAGTTGTTAACGTGTAGTTGTTAACGTGTAGTGTATTTGTTAACGTGTAGTTGTTGACGTGTAGTGTAGTTGTTAACGTGTAGTTGTTAACGTGTAGTGTAGTTGTTAACGTGTAGTGTAGTTGTTAACGTGTAGTTGTTAACGTGTAGTTGTTAACGTGTAGTTGTTAACGTGTAGTTTTTAACGTGTAGTGTAACTGTTAACGCATAGTTGTTAACGTGTAGCTGTTAACGTGTGGTTGTTAAAGTGTAGTTGTTAACGTGTAGCTGTTAACGTGTAGTTGTTAACGTGTAGTTGTTAACGTGTAATGTAGCTGTTAACGTGTAGCTGTTAACGTGTAGTGTAGTTGTTAACGTGTAGTTGTTAACATGTAGTTGTTAACGTGTAGTGTAGTTGTTAATGTGTAGTTGTTAACGTGTAGTTGTTAACGTGTAGTGTAGTTGTTAACATGTCGTTGATAACGTGTAGTTGTTAACGTGTAGTTGTTAACGTGTAGCTGTTAACGTGTAGTTGTTAACGTGTAGTTGTTAACGTGTAATGTAGCTGTTAACGTGTAGCTGTTAACGTGTAGTGTAGTTGTTAATGTGTAGTTGTTAACATGTAGTGTAGATGTTAACCTGTAGTTGTTAACGTGTAGTTGTTACCGTTCAGTGTAGCTGTTAACGTGTAGTTGTTAACGTGTAGTTGTTAACGTGTAGTTGTTGACGTGTAGTGTAGTTGTTAACGTGTAGTTGTTAACGTCTAGTTGTTAACGTGTAGTTGTTAACGTGTAGTTGTTAACGTGTAGTGTAGTTGTTAACGTGTAGTGTAGCTGTTAACGTGTAGTTGTTAACGTGTAGTTGTTAACGTGTAGTGTAGTTGTTAATGTGTAGTTGTTAACGTGTAGTTGTTAACGTGTAGTGTAGCTGTTAACGTGTAGTTGTTAACGTGTAGTTGTTAACGTGTAGTTGTTGACGTGTAGTGTAGTTGTTAACGTGTAGTTGTTAACGTGTAGTTGTTAACGTGTAGTTGTTAACGTGTAGTTGTTAACGTGTAGTTGTTAACGTGTAGTTGTTGACGTGTAGTGTAGTTGTTAACGTGTAGTTGTTAACGTGTAGTGTAGTTGTTAACGTGTAGTTGTTAACGTGTAGTTGTTAACGTGTAGTTGTTAACGTGTAGTTGTTAACGTGTAGTTGTTAACGTGTAGTGTAGCGGCCCTACACGTTGCCCAGCGCCTCCCCGTAGCGAATCTTCTGCCCGGGCCGTACGTGGAACCTGAACGTAGCGGGGGCCTCAAAGAGCAGCACCACGGTAGAGCCCAAGTTGAACTCCCCTACGGGGTGACCCTTGCCCACCCTCAGCCCCCCACACACACCCCAGGGCCCCCTCGGCCAAGCCTCCTCCTCGTCATCCACCTCCTCGTCCTCGTCATCCACCTCCACCTCGTCCACCTCCTCCTCGTCGTCGTCCACCAACCTCGTCGATCCTCTGCCGAGGGTCGGTACGGCAGTGGTCATTCCACCGGTCAGTCCACAGCTAAGTCCACCGGTCAGTCCACCGGTGACTTCACCGGTTGGTTGAGAGGTCAGTCCACCGGTCATTCCACCAGTCAGTCCACCGGTCAGTCCACCGGTTGGTCGAGTGGTCAGTCCACCACTCAGTCCACCGGTCAGTCCACCGGTCAGCCCACCGGTCACTTCACCGGTCAGTCCACCAGTCACTTCACCGGTCAGTCCACCAGTCACTTCACCGGTTGGTCGAGAGGTCACTCCACCGGTCACTCCACCGGTTGGTCGAGTGCTCAGTCCTCCACTCAGTCCACCAGTGAGTCCACCGGTCAGTCCACCAGTCACTTCACCGGTCAGTCCACCGGTCACTTCACCGGTTGGTCGAGAGGTCACTCCACCGGTCACTCCACCGGTTGGTCGAGTGGTCAGTCCTCCACTCAGTCCACCAGTGAGTCCACCGGTCAGTCCACCGGTCAACACGTCCCCGTGGGGGTCACCGTGGGGGTCACCGTGGAGGTCACCGCGGACGCGAGCGGTGGGATGAGCGGTGGGATGAGCGGTGGGATGAGCGGTGGGATGAGCGGTGGGGGCGGTCACGAAGCAGCGGTCCACGAACGGCACCCTAGGGTGGTGGGCGGAGTTTGTCTCCAGCTCCTGGGGGGGGGGGTAGGAAGGAGAGAGAGGGGGGGGCAAGGGGGGGCCGGGTTATTCCGAGTGGAGTCTCTGACCCTGCCTCCCGTGACCCCCCCGTGACCCCCCGTGACCCCCCCGTGACCCCCCGTGACCCCCCACCTGGTCTGTGTAGACCCGTATGGAGCCCACGTTGGTGGCTCCCACGGCAGCGAGGGCGAGGAATTCGTGGGCCCAGCGGCCCGTCAGCACCACGTGACCCCCCCCCGTGACCCCCACGTGACCCCAGTGACCCCCCCGTGACCCCAGTGACCCCGTGACCTCCCACCTGGTCTGTGTAGACCCGTATGGAGCCCACGTTGGTGGCTCCCACGGCAGCGAGGGCGAGGAATCCGTGGGCCCAGCGGCCCGTCAGCACCACGTGACCCCCCCCCGTGACCCCCACGTGACCCCAGTGACCCCCCCGTGACCCCAGTGACCCCGTGACCCCCCACCTGGTCTGTGTAGACCCGTATGGAGCCCACGTTGGTGGCTCCCACGGCAGCGAGGGCGAGGAATCCGTGGGCCCAGCGGCCCGTCAGCACCACGCGCTCGTTGAGGCAGTAGAGGCCGGGCAGGCGGCGGGACACGCGCGGACTCACGGGCACCAGGAGGCCTGCCGAGTCACGTGGTGGGAGTCACGTGGTGGGAGTCACGTGGTGGGAGTCACGTGGTGGGAGTCACGTGGTGGGAGTCACGGGGTGGAAGTCACGGGGTGGGAGTCACGGAGTGGAGTCACGTGGTGGGAGTCACGTGGTGGGAGTCACGGGGTGGAAGTCACGTGGTGGGAGTCACGTGGAAGTCATGGAGTGGAGTCACGGAGTGGAAGTCACGTGGGAGTCACGGTGTGGAGTCACGTGGTGGGAGTCACGTGGTGGGAGTCACGTGGTGGGAGTCACGTGGTGGGAGTCACGTGGTGGAAGTCACGGAGTGGAGTCACGTGGTGGGAGTCACGTGGTGGAAGTCACGGAGTGGAAGTCACGGAGTGGAGTCACGTGGTGGGAGTCACGTGGTGGGAGTCACGGGGTGGAAGTCACGTGGTGGGAGTCACGTGGAAGTCATGGAGTGGAGTCACGGAGTGGAAGTCACGTGGGAGTCACGGTGTGGAGTCACGTGGTGGGAGTCACGTGGTGGGAGTCACGTGGTGGGAGTCACGTGGTGGGAGTCACGGAGTGGAGTCACGTGGTGGGAGTCACGTGGAAGTCACGGAGTGGAGTCACGGAGTGGAAGTCACGTGGGAGTCACGGGGTGGGAGTCACGGGGTGGGAGTCACGTGGTGGGAGTCACGTGGTGGGAGTCACGTGGTGGGAGTCACGGAGTGGAGTCACGTGGTGGGAGTCACGGGGTGGGAGTCACGTGGTGGGAGTCACGTGGGAGTCACGGGGTGGGAGTCACGTGGGAGTCACAGGGTCGGAGTCACGTGGTGGGAGTCACGGAGTGGAGTCACGTGGTGGGAGTCACAGAGTGGAGTCACGTGGAAGTCACGTGGGAGTCACGGAGTGGAGTCACGTGGTGGGAGTCACGGAGTGGAAGTCACGTGGTGGGAGTCACGTGGAAGTCATGGAGTGGAGTCACGTGGTGGGAGTCACGTGGGAGTCACGGGGTGGGAGTCACGTGGGAGTCACGTGAAAGTCACGGAGTGGAATCACGTGGTGGGAGTCACGTGGGAGTCACGGAGTGGAATCACGTGGTGGGAGTCACGTGGTGGGAGTCACGGAGTGGAGTCACGTTGGAGTCACGGAGTGGAGTCACGTGGTGGAAGTCTGTGTGTGTGTGTCTGTGTGTGTGTCTGTGTGTGTCTGTGTGTGTGTGTGTCTGTGTGTGTGGAGCTCCTCCAGAAACAACGAAAAGCCACTTCGTGTGGCCACGTGGAATGTTCGAACGCTCACTGCGGAGGAGAGGCTGCCTCTCCTCTGTCGGGAGCTGGACCGGTACCGCCTGGATCTCTGTGGCATTCAGGAGGTCCGGTGGACCGGCTCTGGCTCCTGCCACCATGAGGGGTGGACAGTCCTCTATTCGGGGCAGCAGACTGCCAAACAACAGGGTCTGGCTCTTCTTTTGAACAAAAGAATGAAGGGGCGTGGGAGCGTGGCGGTGAGGTGTGGGAAGCTGTAAGCCCCAGGCTACTTTGGGCTCGCCTTCCCATCAACCGGAGGCGAGGAATGGTTGTCGTGGTTACTTATGCCCCCACCGAAGATGAACATCCGTGGAGGGATGCAGGCAAAGCCGATGAGTCAGATGCCTTCTATGACCTGTCACAGGTGCTGGCTAAAGTGGCCCCTCGGGATAGAGTCATCATGTTGGGTGACTTCAATGCCCGAGTTGGTCATGATACTGGCACCTGGTCTGGAGTGATTGGAGGGCATGGGCCAGATCAGCTCAATGACAACGGTAGGAGGCTGCTAGATGTTTGTGCAGCCCATGGGCTTGTAATTACTAACACGCTGTTCCGGCATCGGAGCATCCACACAACATCATGGATGCATGCCGGGTCCAAGCAAGAACATCTGCTGGACTACATAGTGACGGACCAGCAGATGCGAGCCCATGTCCTTGACACCACGACCTACCGTGGAGCTGATCTGCCCTCTGACCATTGACTAGTCATCTGTAAGATGCGCCTGCCATTCTTCCACTCCGGTGGTGGGTGTACACCCAGGACCCCAATCCACTCTAAAGTGACCTGGTCTCAGTTATCTGATGAAAGTTGCAAGCAAGAATTTAATCATCGCTTGCTGCTGGGGTTGGCATCGTCCCCCACTCCTGCTGATGTCGAGGGTAAATGGGCGAGGTTTAGGACTGTGACTCATGCAGCTGCAATGGCTGCTTTGGGTACGCAGTCCAGACCTCCCCAGAGACCCTGGCTGACAGAGGAGGTGTTCAGGATGGTTGAGAAAAAGCGACAGGCCCACTGTCATCGGCTACAGCAGAGATGATCTCCCAAGCGAATGTTGGGGGAGGGTGGCGTTTGTGCACAGACTGCCTTATATGACATCATAACAACAGTCTGGACCACTGGACGGGTTCCGCAGGATTGGAAGGATGCCCTGGTGGTCCCCCTCTTTAAGAAGGTGGACCACACAGACTGTAACAACTACAGGGGCATCTCACTCCTCGGTGTGCCGGGAAAGGTCCTGGCAAGGATTATTTAGCATCGCCTTGCCAGGCACGCTGAGGAGAGGCTTGCGGATCTCCAATGTGGTTTCAGGAAAGGGCGGTCCTGCACAGATGCCATATTTTCTGTCCGTCTGCTACAGCAGAGGTGTAACGAAATTCCAACAAGACCTACATCTCTGCTTTATTGACCTGGTCAAGGCGTATAATACCATCAGTAGGCCTGGGCTCTGGGTTGTTCTTCGTGCTTTTGGAGTCCCTGACCCTCTGCTTACGATCATTAAGGACCTTTATGATGGTGAGCGGGCCCGGGTAAAACTACGTGGCCGGGAGTCAGAGCTATTCCCTGTACACCTTGGGGTGCGACAGGGATGTCCTCTGGCTCCCACTTTTATTTAACATCTATTTTGACCACATAGTTCGTGAAGCATTCGATAGCTGTACCGGGGGAATCTCCATTTGGTACAGATATAATGGGAGGCTGATCGATGCCCGGGTGCGGTCAAGGGATGGCTCCCTATTGCTCAACCACGTTATGTATGCCGATGATTTGGTAATAGCTGCTCATTCAGATGAGGAGTTGGAAACGTTGCTGCTGAGACTGGAGCGTGCCACTAAGAGGTGGGGCCTTACCATCAGCCCCACCAAAACTAAGCACCTGCCTGGGTATTTTGTACCATCGGCCACTCCACCCCCACAACTCCCAATCGATGATAGGGCAGTTGTGGAGAGAGTGGAGAGATTCCCATACCTGGGCAGTCTGCTTATGACCGGCTCCAGTTTAACAGCAGAGGTTTCACTCCGAATCAGTCGAGCGGCAATATCTTTTCATCGGTTGCGTAACGCTGTGTGGAAGCTACCTGGTCTGTCACTCCGCACGAAGCTTCAGGTCTTCTCGGCCACGGTCATTCCCTCCCTTCTCTACGCTTGCGAAACGTGGACCCACCTAATGGAACATCTTCGCCGGTTATAAACATTTAGGCTAGCCTGCCTCCGATCCATCCTGGGTTTAACCAGACTGGATTGTGTGAGGAGCTCACAAATCCTTGAAAGATCTGGGCAGGGTCCCATCGGTGAGCTCCTCCGGCAGGCAAGGCTGCGATGGCTGGGTCATGTAGCCCGCATGCCCAGCCACCGCATGCCGAAACAGCTTTTGTTCGGCCGGATCGAGGGGGCTAAACGGGCGCGGCACGGGCTAGAGAAGAGATGGAGTGATGTGGTACAGGAGGACGTGGAGCTGAGTGGACTTGCCGATGACTGGTACCAGCGGTGTCAAGATCGGCCTCTGTGGAGGAGGCTCGTGAAGGACGCTACTGGGCAGTTGGAGGTAGTCGCCCTCCAACAACAACGGAGGGCGGAGGAGCGACGCTCACAACAACGAGCGGAGCGCCGGGTGGCTAAAGCACAGCGGGTTGGCACAGTAGGGGGCACAGGTGGTGCATCAGCCAGTCATCTCAATCATCTCAGTCAGTCGACCCGTGGCACCTGCTGGGTCTGCCCCGTGACCTCCTGCCAGCGGGCGTTCGACACTTCACGTGGCCTCAGGGTGCACATAGCCTGGCACAAGCGTCGTGGTGATGTCACCGCCACTTAGTGGCGAATGGCGGTTGTTGTTGTTGTTGTTTCTGACCAGGGAAGTGCCTGCGGTGCTGTAGAGTCCATTGGGCGGGTGAGTGGAAGTGGTGGTAGTCGCCTGGCGCCAGGTAAACCACGCAGTGGAACAGCTCGTGGCCCGGACTCACGGACAGACGCTCACCACTGCCTGGGTCTAGCGGGAGAGGGGTGAGGGGAGGGGGGGAGAGAAGGGGGTAGGGGAGGGGTGACGGTGGGGGGGATAGGGGAGGGGGGATGGGGGAGGGGTTGAGCGGATGGGGGGATGAGGGTAGGGGCGAGTGGGGGGTGAGGAACGTGTTGATATTATTATTTGGCGACTACACATTGAGTCTCTGTGTGAGTCTCTATGAGTCTCTGTGTGAGACTGTGTGAGTCTCTATCCATCACTATGTGAGTCTCTGTGAGTCTCTTTGTGAGTCTCTATGTGAGTCTCTATGAGTCCGTGTGTGAGTCTCTGTGTGAGTCTCTATGAGTCTGTGTGAGTCTCTGTGTGAGTCTCTATGAGTCCGTGTGTGAGTCTCTGTCAGTCTCTGTGTGAGTCTCTGTGTGAGTCTCTATGAGTCTCTATGTGAGTCTCTGTGTGAGTCTCTGTGTGAGTCTCTATGAGTCTGTGTGTGAGTGTCTGTATGAGACTCTATGAGTCTCTGTGAGTCTCTGTGAGTCTCTGTCCATCTCTATGTGAGTCTCTATGAGTCTGTGTGTGAGTCTGTGTGTGAGTCTCTGTGAGTCTCTGTCCATCTCTATGTGAGTCTCTATGAGTCTGTGTGTGAGTCTGTGTGTGTGTCTCTATGAGTCTGTGTGTGAGACTCTGTGTGAGTCTCTGTGTGAGTCTCTATGAGTCTCTATGAGTCCGTATGTGAGTCTCTGTGTGAGTCTCTGTGTGAGTCTCTGTGAGTCTCTGTGTGAGCCTCTATGAGTCTGTGTGTGAGTCTCTGTGGGAGTCTCTGTGAGCCTCTGTCCATCTCTATGTGAGTCTCTGTGAGTCTGTGTGTGAGTCTCTATGAGCCTCTATGAGTCTCTGTGTGAGTCTCTGTGTGAGTCTCTGTGAGTCTCAGTGTGAGTCTCTATGTGAGTGTCTTTGTGAGTCTCTCTCTGAGTCTCTGTGAGTCTCTATGAGTCTCTGTGTGAGTCTCTATGAGTCTCTGTGTGAGTCTCTGTGAGTCTCTGTCCATCTCTATGTGAGTCTCTATGAGTCTGTGTGTGAGTCTCTGTGTGAGTCTCTATGAGTCTATGTGTGAGTCTCTATGAGTCTCTGTGTGAGTCTCTGTGTGAGTCTCTGTGAGTCTCTGTGAGTCTCTATGTGAGTCTCTGTGTGAGTCTCTCTCTGAGTCTCTGTGAGTCTCTGTGTGAGTCTCTATGAGTCTGTGTGTGAGTCTCTGTGTGAGTCTCTATGTGAGTCTCTGTGTGAGTCTCTCTCTGAGTCTCTGTGCATCTCTGTGTGAGTCTCTCTGAGTCTCTGTCCATCTCTGTATGAGTCTCTATGAGTCTGTGTGTGAGTCTCTGTGAGTCTCTGTCCATCTCTATGTGAGTCTCTATGAGTCTGTGTATGAGTCTCTGTGTGAGTCTCTGTGAGTCTCTGTGAGTCTCTGTGTGAGTCTCTATGAGTCTCTGTCCATCTCTATGTGAGTCTCTATTAGTCTCTGTGTGAGTCTCTGTGAGTCTCTGTGAGTCTCTGTGTGAGTCTCTATGAGTCTCTGTGTGAGTCTCTGTGTGAGTCTCTGTGAGTCTCTGTGTGAGTCTCTGTGTGAGTCTCTGTGAGTCTCTGTCCATCTCTATGAGTCTCTGTCCATCTCTGTGTGAGTCTCTGTGAGTCTGTGTGTGAGTCTCTATGAGTCTCTGTGTGAGTCTCTGTGAGTCTCTGTCCATCTCTATGTGAGTCTCTATGAGTCTGTGTGTGAGTCTGTGTGTGAGTCTGTGTGTGAGTCTCTGTGAGTCTCTGTCCATCTCTATGTGAGTCTCTATGAGTCTGTGTGTGAGTCTGTGTGTGTCTCTATGAGTCTGTGTGTGAGTCTCTGTGTGAGTCTCTGTGTGAGTCTCTATGAGTCTCTATGAGTCCGTATGTGAGTCTCTGTGTGAGTCTCTGTGTGAGTCTCTGTGAGTCTCTGTGTGAGTCTCTATGAGTCTGTGTGTGAGTCTCTGTGGGAGTCTCTGTGACCCTCTGTCCATCTCTATGTGAGTCTCTGTGAGTCTGTGTGTGAGTCTCTATGAGCCTCTATGAGTCTCTGTGTGAGTCTCTATGAGTCTGTGTGTGAGTCTCTGTGTGAGTCTCTATGAGTCTCTGTGTGAGTCTCTGTGAGTCTCTGTCCATCTCTATGTGAGTCTCTATGAGTCTGTGTGTGAGTCTCTGTGTGAGTCTCTATGAGTTTCTGTGTGAGTCTCTATGAGTCTCTGTGTGAGCCTCTGTGAGTCTCTGTGAGTCTCTGTCCATCTCTATGTGAGTCTCTATGAGTCTGTGTGTGAGTCTCTGTGTGAGTCTCTATGAGTCTGTGTGTGAGTCTCTGTGTGAGTCTCTATGAGTCTCTGTGTGAGACTCTCTTTGAGTCTCTGTGAGTCTCTGTGTGAGTCTCTATGAGTCTCTGTGTGAGTCTCTGTGAGTCTCTGTGTGAGTCTCTATGAGTCTCTGTCCATCTCTGTATGAGTCTCTATGAGTCTGTGTGTGAGTCTCTGTGAGTCTCTGTCCATCTCTATGTGAGTCTCTATGAGTCTGTATATGAGTCTCTGTGTGAGTCTCTGTGAGTCTCTGTGAGTCTCTGTGTGAGTCTCTATGAGTCTCTGTCCATCTCTATGTGAGTCTCTATTAGTCTCTGTGTGGGTCTCTGTGAGTCTCTGTGAGTCTCAGTGTGAGTCTCTATGAGTCTCTGTGTGAGTCTCTGTGAGTCTCTGTGTGAGTCTCTGTGTGAGTCTCTGTGAGTCTCTGTCCATCTCTATGAGTCTCTGTCCATCTCTGTGTGAGTCTCTGTGAGTCTGTGTGTGAGTCTCTATGAGTCTCTGTGTGAGTCTCTGTGAGTCTCTGTGAGTCTCTGTCCATCTCTATGTGAGTCTCTATGAGTCTGTGTGTGAGTCTGTGTGTGAGTCTGTGTGTGAGTCTCTGTGAGTCTCTGTCCATCTCTATGTGAGTCTCTATGAGTCTGTGTGTGAGTCTGTGTGTGTGTCTCTATGAGTCTGTGTGTGAGTCTCTGTGTGAGTCTCTGTGTGAGTCTCTATGAGTCTCTATGAGTCCGTATGTGAGTCTCTGTGTGAGTCTCTGTGTGAGTCTCTGTGAGTCTCTGTGTGAGTCTCTATGAGTCTGTGTGTGAGTCTCTGTGTGAGTCTCTATGAGTCTCTGTGTGAGTCTCTGTGAGTCTCTGTGAGTCTCTGTCCATCTCTATGTGAGTCTCTGTGAGTCTGTGTGTGAGTCTCTATGAGCCTCTATGAGTCTCTGTGTGAGTCTCTATGAGTCTGTGTGTGAGTCTCTGTGTGAGTCTCTATGAGTCTCTGTGTGAGTCTCTGTGAGTCTCTGTGAGTCTCTGTCCATCTCTATGTGAGTCTCTATGAGTCTATGTGTGAGTCTCTGTGTGAGTCTCTATGAGTCTCTGTGTGAGTCTCTATGAGTCTCTGTGTGAGTCTCTGTGAGTCTCTGTGAGTCTCTGTCCATCTCTATGTGAGTCTCTATGAGTCTGTGTGTGAGTCTCTGTGTGAGTCTCTATGAGTCTGTGTGTGAGTCTCTGTGTGAGTCTCTATGAGTCTCTGTGTGAGTCTCTCTCTGAGTCTCTGTGAGTCTCTGTGTGAGTCTCTATGAGTCTGTGTGTGAGTCTCTGTGTAAGTCTCTATGTGAGTCTCTGTGTGAGTCTCTCTCTGAGTCTCTGTGAGTCTCTGTGTGAGTCTCTCTGAGTCTCTGTGTGAGTCTCGTTGAGTCTCTGTGTGAGTCTCTGTGAGTCTCTGTGTGAGTCTCTATGAGTCTCTGTCCATCTCTGTACGAGTCTCTATGAGTGTGTGTGTGAGTCTCTGTCCCTTTCTATGTGAGTCTCTATGAGTCTGTGTATGAGTCTCTGTGTGAGTCTCTGTGAGTCTCTGTGAGTCTCTGTGTGAGTCTCTATGAGTCTCTGTCCATCTCTATGTGAGTCTTTATTAGTCTCTGTGTGAGTCTCTGTGAGTCTCTGTGAGTCTCTGTGTGAGTCTCTATGAGTCTCTGTGTGAGTCTCTGTGAGTCTCTGTGTGAGTCTCTGTGTGAGTCTCTGTGAGTCTCTGTCCATCTCTATGAGTCTCTGTCCATCTCTGTGTGAGTCTCTGTGAGTCTCTGTGAGTCTCTGTCCATCTCTATGTGAGTCTCTATGAGTCTGTGTGTGAGTCTGTGTGTGAGTCTGTGTGTGAGTCTCTGTGAGTCTCTGTCCATCTCTATGTGAGTCTCTATGAGTCTGTGTGTGAGTCTGTGTGTGTCTCTATGAATCTGTGTGTGAGTCTCTGTGTGAGTCTCTATGAGTCTCTGTGTGAGTCTCTGTGTGAGTCTCTGTGAGTCTCTGTGTGAGTCTCTATGAGTCTGTGTGTGAGTCTCTGTGGAAGTCTCTGTGAGCCTCTGTCCATCTCTATGTGAGTCTCTGTGAGTCTGTGTGTGAGTCTCTATGAGCCTCTATGAGTCTCTGTGTGAGTCTCTATGAGTCTGTGTATGAGTCTCTGTGTGAGTCTCTGTGAGTCTCTGTGAGTCTCTGTGTGAGTCTCTATGAGTCTCTGTCCATCTCTATGTGAGTCTTTATTAGTCTCTGTGTGAGTCTCTGTGAGTCTCTGTGAGTCTCTGTGTGAGTCTCTATGAGTCTCTGTGTGAGTCTCTGTGAGTCTCTGTGTGAGTCTCTGTGTGAGTCTCTGTGAGTCTCTGTCCATCTCTATGAGTCTCTGTCCATCTCTGTGTGAGTCTCTGTGAGTCTCTGTGAGTCTCTGTCCATCTCTATGTGAGTCTCTATGAGTCTGTGTGTGAGTCTGTGTGTGAGTCTGTGTGTGAGTCTCTGTGAGTCTCTGTCCATCTCTATGTGAGTCTCTATGAGTCTGTGTGTGAGTCTGTGTGTGTCTCTATGAATCTGTGTGTGAGTCTCTGTGTGAGTCTCTATGAGTCTCTGTGTGAGTCTCTGTGTGAGTCTCTGTGAGTCTCTGTGTGAGTCTCTATGAGTCTGTGTGTGAGTCTCT